CAGCGTGACCTGACCTTGGCCCTGTGACCTTGCCGGCAGGGGTTTCGTGTGCATCGTCACCAACGTGGCCTCTCAATGAGGCAAAACAGACGTAAACTATACTCAGCTCGTCGACCTGCACGCCCGATATGCTGAGTGCGGTTTACGGATCCTGGCCTTCCCCTGCAACCAGTTTGGGAGGCAGGTGTGTAGCCTGGGACGCTGGGCTGGCAGAGACCTGGAGGTGGTGGGGCAGGGCGTGGGGCACAACGTGGGGCCCCAGGAACGGGGAGGGGGGAAGGGGGAGGGTCTGTTTTTTGGGGCAGCATTCCAAAAAGTAGGGCTAGGTGGAAACCAGGACCAGAGGGGCCTGGCAGTCCCCTCCTGCTGACCCTCAGCACCTGTTGCCGCAGGAACCAGGGAGTAACGCCGAGATTAAAGAGTTCGCTGCTGGCTATAATGTCAAATTCGACATGTACAGCAAGATCTGTGTGAACGGGGACGACGCCCACCCACTGTGGAAGTGGATGAAAGTCCAGCCCAAAGGGCGGGGCATCCTGGGGAAGTGAGTGCCCGAGGATGGGTTTGGAGGGGGCCTGTGGGCGGGGCTGCAGTGAGGCTGTGGGTGGGGCGACGGGCCGGGGACAGTGCTGTGGGCTAGATGGCAGGTGGGTGAGGGGTTGCTGAGCCCTGGTTTCCCTTGAGCCCGAGTGATCCTGTGCTTCTTTTGTAGTGCCATCAAATGGAACTTCACTAAGGTAAGGGAGCTGTTACCCGGTGGGGAACAGGGCAGTGCCCCCTTGCTGGTCTGGCCCCTATGTCCCATCCCTCCAGCTCATCACCTCCCCATCCCCGACATGTCCGCCCCTCCTTGCAGTTTCTAATTGACAAGAACGGCTGTGTGGTGAAGCGGTATGGTCCCATGGAGGAGCCCCTGGTAGGTGCCATTCTGGGGAGCCGGGGAGGGGGTTGCGGGGGAGGAGAGTCAGACCCTGACCTTCATCTTCCCTACCACAGGTGATCGAGAAGGACCTGCCCTGCTACCTCTAGTCCCACCATTGCCCCCTCTCACCCACCCCCTGCCCCCACGCCCCCCAAAGCCTTCTACCCGGCACCTATGACGGCCTGCCTGCAAACCAGCCTGCTGGTGGGGCAGACCCGAGAACCCGGCGTGCACCTCTGCTGGAGGAAGGTCCAGGTGGCCGTGGCGCAGGCCCCCCCACCCATCCGCCCTTTATGGGAATAAAACGTTCAAGTCGTTCTGCTGGCACCTTCTCTCTCGGCATGGGTGGGCTCCTCCTGGTCCAGGGCTATCTGCCCCCTGGGTGCGGTTCTGGTCACTGGGCTCCAGCCCTTTGTGCCTCTGCCCTGCACCCCTGCTGGGCCAGGCAGAGCCTTCTTGCAAGGTAATCCCTCTTAGCTGGTTACTCTCCCCGACCTAGCTTTCACTAGCTTTAACCTGACAGAGGCAACGCTTTAGGCAGGCACGGGCTCCAGTCTTCCCCGCAGCTCACCAAAACACTGTGCGTAGTGTGGATGCGGTAAGATAGGAAACGACGTCTGGGGCTGGGCCAGGCCTACTCTGGGACTGGCATCACGGGACAGTGGCCCGTGGGCCTCACGTGGCTGAGGGCTCTGGCAGTCTGCAGGAGGGAGCCCAGGAGACTCAGCCCCTCCATTTTGTGGGAGCTGGGCCTTCCTAGAGGATAGCTAGGTGGACGGGAGGGGCTGAGCCCCGACTGCCCTCCCTGAGAAGAGCCAGTTAGCTGAGGGTGGTAACCCGGCCACCCCTGCCAGGTGGGCCTCTGCCCCATCTTCCTGTCTAGCGAGGGACAGCCTGGGGAGGGGCTGTGAGCTCTGGCTGTGCCCCTCCAGCTGAAGAGCTCCCCAGCTTGAGATTGAGCCCAGGGGCGCAAGACTTGGCAGAGGCCATAGCCCCAGATACCAGGGCCCAGGAAAGGTTCCCAGGTGAGTCTCAAAGCTGTGCAGGCACTGGGACCACTGGTTTGGGTCCTGGTGCAAAACAAAGCCCCGAGGCAGGGACTCAATGTCCACGAGACGCTCCTGAAGGAGGGGTGAGGCCTTGTGTCTGGGGATGCTGCAGCTAGGCCCCCTCAGTCCTCAGCCCCCCATGTCTCAGACCATTGGGCAGACACAGAATGGCCTGGGCTACAGCAGACAATGTGGGAAGTAGTCAAAAGGCACATATATTTAAAAATCTCTTTACATATATATACACTGGAATTCATTATAAATACACTAGACAGGCCCTGCCTGGCCCACCCAGAGAGCAGTCCCTGGGCCTGGAGGAGGCAGTGGACAATAATTTAGGGAGCGAGAGGTTGCTAGGTAGGTGAAGTCATTGCATATACTAATGGGGGGGGGGTGCCCCCGGACCACCGGGGGCCCTCAGCACCTGGGGTTTCCTGAGTCTCCAGCTCTTGGGACCACCCAGTTCCACGGATTTCAGGGGTTTGCCCGACCAAGGACGTGGCCTTGAGGGGTAAGAGCTAGGGGTTCCTTGGCCCAGGGTCCCTTCCTGTGGGGGTGAGGGAACCAGGAGAGGAAAGAGGCACGGAGGGTCCTGCATCTCCACTCTCAGGGCCTGCCTTGGCCCCCTGCACTCCCAGTCCTGAGCAGGACAGCCTACATGGAGCCCCCGATGGTCCCCTAGAACTGACCCACGTCTGGGGAGGGGCTGTCCAGGCACCAGGAGGTCCTGAGCAGCCAGGCCCTTCCAGGGTCGGCTCAGAGAAGGCACTGCAGTGAGGACGGTAGGCGGCATAGGCTGCACCTCGTCCCGGTGGTCGCAGAGGGCCCCGGGCTTGCTCACCCCCGGCTTCCGTGGGAGAGCGACCTCCATAGTGTAGACGTGGGGCCACGTTACAAACAAGCTTCCGCCCGGAGGGCGCCCCCTGCCGGGCTGCGTGTGCTCAGCCTAAGAGTTGTGGAAGGGTGGCCCAAAGTGGATGACACTCTGCCGCTCTGGCCCCCCACCGCCCCCCGCGGCGCCAGCGCCTCCCGGTGGGCCAGGGGGCTCAGGGGCCGGGACAGTTTGCAGGGAGCGCAGCATGTCCTCCAGCACCTCCTTGAAGTTGATGTCACAACTCCGGTGCAGCAGATCGCGGGGGTCTGGGAGCGCCCCGGGCTCTGGCGCGCCCAGTAGTAAGCTGGGCCCGGCGGGCGGCGGCAGCTCCGCGGGCAGCGGCGGGAAGGCGAAGTGCGGGGCAGGTAGGAGAGGGCCGGCCGGCGGGCTGTAGGTCAGGTCCAGCACCTCACCGGGGCCGCAGGGCAGCGCGAGCGGCCGCTGGGTGGGCGGCGGAGGCGCGAGAAGGCTCAGGCTGCGCTTGCGCTTACGCTTCACGTCTGCGTCCATCAGCTGCAGCTCCTGCAGCACGCGGCGCACGCAGCTCTCGGGCACCTTGATGCCTGCGGCGGAGGAGGGCGGGGTCAGGGCCGTTAGGGACCTGTGTCCCGCGTCCCCCGCCGGGCCCCATGGCTCACCGACTTGCTTCTTCTGGTCCTTGGTCTTGAGCCGCACGATCTGCAGGTAGCTGCTGCTGGTGATCTCCGCCATGACTGCGGCTATGCGGCCCCACACGCGCAGCAGCGCCCCGCACAGCATGTAGTGGTGGCGCAGGCGCAGGCCCTGCAGGCAGTCCTTGCCGTCCTGTGCGAGCCGGCAGTGCCGGTTCCTGTGCCGAGGAGTGGGGACCGGTTGGGGCTCAGCCATTCCTCAGGGGGCCCAGGGGCCGCCCACGCCCGCTCCCACACTGGCCCCCAGACCTCGCCCTTCCAGCCACCTCACCAGGCTGTGTGGCTGCAGTGTGTTAGCGAGAAGACGTAGCTATTCTCCCAGTGCTCCTGGGCCTCCTCCGCCGTGACCTGGGGACAGAGCCAGGTGACCCTCTGGGCAATACTGGGGTCAGCGGTGGGGAGTTAGACAAGCCCAGCCCAACAAGGCCTGGCCCAGGGGCACTTGTGGCCTCTGTGGGCGGCTTGGGGGATGCAGGGGCCAGCCCAGGGGCTGGGTGACCCGGCCAGCCCACGGCACCCTGTCCTCACCCGGTGGAACTTGCGGCACAGGCTGTCCAGGGTTTCCAGCTGGCTCTGCCGGCCGATGTTGGGCTTGTACACAGTGAAGTACTTGCCTCGGTTCTGCTCCGCCAGGAGGCAGCTGGTCTTGTTGCCACGTACCTGGGAAGGGGGCGTGCATAAGGCGGGGCTTGGGCATTAGGGCTGGAGGCAGTAACCAGGCTGGATACGTGGTCGGCCAGACACCCACCTTGTAAGAGAGGTAGAAGCCATCATAGGCGCCTGTCAGTTCCAGCGACTTGGCGAGCGCCTCCTCCCAACGAAGGCCACGGTCCACGCTGATCTGCCAGCACACCGGGGCAGTTAGTGGGTGGGGCAGGCGGCTAGGGAAGGGTGGAGCTGGGAGCCCGGCCGCTGGACAGGGGGGCTTCTTGTTTACCTTATAGAAGACCACCTGGCCGTCTTGGGGGTGCCCGGGTGTGAGGAACACCTGCTGGCTCTCCTCATAGATCTCGTCCACTCCTGGGGCCAGGTCTGGGGAGGAAGCCAGGCATGACATGAGAGGGTCCCTAGACTGAGAGCCCCTGGCCTGGGGCTGCAGGCCTGTTCAGGCCAATCCTTTCTCTCGGTAGCCTGCAGTCCTCCCTAGGCCACCACTTCCCCATGGAGCCTCACCCCCAAGGCACCCCATCCCCTGGAAGCTCACCCAGGATGCCCATGTCGTATTTGCCCTCCTTCTTGTCCACTTCGATGAGGTGGTCAAACGTGTCCGAGAAGTACTGGAACAGCGCGTTCTGCTTGTGCACCTCCAGGCCCAGGATGCGGTTCAGGAACTTGGTAATGGAGCAATCTGGGAGGGCGGGAAGGAGACTCACTCCAGGTCTGGCCAGGACTCCACCCTGCCCACCCCTTACAAGTCTCAGAGCGGCCTCTGTGCCCAAGCCTCCCAAGGGGCACTCACCCTTCTCCACGTCCAGGCAGCCAGAGCGGGACTCCCGGCCACTGATGCCGACCGACAGCAGGCCTTGCTTCATGTCTGTGGGGAATGGGAGAGAGCTCCTTACACTGGGTCCTCCATGTCTGACCAGTCCACGAGCCCCAACCACTGCCTCAAGCCTCTGCTCTGACAACACTTCAGCCCAGAAGACCACCCTCCCAGCCGCACCCATCCTGGATCTGCCCCAGCTTCGGGAAGGACTTGGTTTCTCCATTTGTAAGGTGTGGACACAAGCAGGGTGGGCTTCCTTTGAGGGAACCAGGGCAGCCCACCATGCTGCGGTGGTGGGACTGATGCCCAACCCAGCAGAGGCTTCTCTGGGGACAGGGTAGGGGCACGTGGGCAGCCTGGATCCCTGGGAGGTGCTGGCACTTTTAGTTCTCTTTCTGTCTCCACCCAGCAAAATGTGGGGCACACCTTCCCAGAAGCCTACTCTGAGGTTCACTCCCCTTTACCATAAATGTCCCCTTCACAAGAGGGGGTTCTCCAAGACTCCAGCACTCTAACCTGCCCCCACCTGCCCTCTCCCCAGAGACCCCTTGGGCACGCCGAGGGCTCACCCCGGAAAAAAGCTGCATCCCCTCCAGGGTAGCCCTGGGGCAGGGGCACCTTGTTCTCAGTCTGGCTCAGGATGGTGGTAAGGACGCAGTGCAGGGCCCGGGCGCCGTACTGAGCGGAGAACGGGGGGCCCAGGTCAGAGGCCAGCTACCCCCTTCCCTCCCAGTCACCCCGTCCCTGCTGCTCAGTATTTCAGGCCGCTGGTACCTTGTTCTCGAAGTTGTACTTGCTCAGGTCCCGGGACTCGGTGGCACGGCGGTCTCCGTGGGTGAGAGCCCCCTGCAGGGGTCAGGGTGGGAGGCTGCACAGAGGCCCTCATGCCTCCCTCCGCCCAGGCCCCGCTCCCCCTTTCCCCCACTAGCTCCCCAGACCACATCCCTGCCTTCCCCAGGGAACCCTTTGTCCTGCCTCCCAACCCTGCCTACTCACCAGGCTCTCCAGGCGCTTGGCCACGATGGAAGCGAATCTCCGCTCCCCGGCCAGCTCCGAGATGAGGAAGACATACTCGGGTGCTGAAACCTGGTTGGACCGGTGGGTCCGGCCTGGCGACAGGGGTGGGTTTTCAGGGACCTGATTTGCAGAAGGACTAGGGGCCCACCAGGGCAGGGCAGGCCCACGGGTCAGGGCTCACCAAACTGCTGTATTGCACGGTCGGCGCTCCAGGGCAGCTCCAGCGTCATGTGGACCCGCCGCTTCTGGTTCTGCACCCGGCGGTCCGCTTGGAGGGAGACGCCTGAGCTCGAGGCTTCGGAGATGATGGCCACGAGCTGGGGACAAAGCAAGGGCGGTCAGGGAGGGGTCTCGCACGCCCACTCCTCACTGATACTCCCGGTCACCTAGACGGTTAACCCGCTCCCCAGGAGAAGGGGCCCTGAGATGCCCCATTCCGGGAGGACTCGTAGAGCAAGTAAGGAGCTGTGTGTGCGTAGGGAGCCCACATATGTTTAAAATAAAAGGGCCATCGCACAAGGACACACGGTCAGAAGGGCTGGGAGGCCTCATAGAAGTCACTCAGGAGGTGGGCAGCTTTTGCGCACTTTCTCGGTTGTCTGGGTCCCTTCCACTGGGAAACAGCCCAGACAAGCTGGATCACATGTGCACGCACACATGTACACACATATGCATACATGCACACTGATAAACGTACACACATGTAACCACACATGTGCACAAAGGTGCTGATGGGATCTCTTAAGTCCCCTGCACCTCCTGTGTCCCATGGGGAACCCAGGCCTATGACATCAGGAAGCAGGAAGGCAAGAAACAAAAACAACCCGAAGTCACTGCCATGGAGTGGATTCCAACTCATAGCGACCCCCACTGGGTTTCTGAGGCGATAAATATTTACAAAAGTAGATTGCCCCATCTTCCTTCCTCTGGAGCCGTTGGGCCTTGAACTACCAACCTTCTAGTTAGCAAATGCCTTAGGCACTGAACCACTGAGAGCTCCCAAGGGTAAGCCCAAGGTTCCTCAACTACAGTCCAGGCCCCCGCCCCGCCCACCTTCTCGCCCTCCGGAAGCCCCACCCTGGCCCCGCCCACCTCGCCCTCAGGAAGCCCCATCCTGGCCCCACCCACCTTCTCGCCGCTCATGAAGCGCTCCTTCTCCCTGAGGTTCACATGGTCGATGGACAATCCCTGTTCCGCCCGTGACTCAAAGGCCACGGTGCCGTCGGCTCTGGACACCACACGGCCTTTCCTGCCCGTCATCTATGCTCGCAGCAAGGACAGGCAGACTGTCAGCAGTGTGGCTGCCCAGGGCCGGCCCATCGGGATCTTCCTTCCCCTTCCCCACTCCCTCCCACGGGCAGAACTGGAGGCTACTGTCCTGCGCTGGGGCAGGTGAGCCGAGTGGGGGCTCACAGCTGGACCATGCCCACCGTCAGGGTTCTGGTCTCGGCTGCCGCTGCTGGACAAACAAGTTTCCAGCAGCGTCTAACACACTTGCCGTGGCCCCAGAAGCCGTCTGAGGCAGACAGAATGAAGTCGAACACGGAGGGAGAAGGAAGGAGTCAGGAGGGGTCTACAGGGACACGGAAGCACACCTTGAACCTGGACTCTGCCCCTTCACCAAGGGGGCGCAGAGCAGACAAGCTAGACAGGTAGGGGCTGACAGCGGGCTCCGGTGGGGGAGAGCCTGGCCTGAGAGCTGGGAGGAAGGCTGGCCAGCAGGGGGCGCCAAAGCCAGCCCAGCTGAGACCCCTGTCCAAGGTGGCCAGTGCAGTGCTCACCTCTGCCACCCGTTCAGGTCCCCCGAGCTGGTCGATGAGTTCATCCAGAGTGTTGACAGGCAGTTCCCGACCCAAGTCTCGCACCTTGGCCAGCAGGTCCTGCTTCAGCCGTTCCACCACCTCCAGCACAGCTGGGCCCTGTGCATCCCGCTGCAAGGGGCCGAGGGAGCCTGTGGGATGAGGGACAACAGGTAAGGGTGAGGGTGCAGACAGATGAGAGAGCAGGATGGGGCAGGGGGCAGGGCCTGGGTACCACACAGCCCCTAGGCTACTGGCTGACAACACACAGGGCAGGGCGAGGTCAGGAACGTTCTGACACCTGACCGCCTGGCTCCGGGCCCTGACTGCCTCCCTGGCAGCCTCAGCTCCCCGTCTGTACTGTGGGGCAGGAGTGATGTCCACCTGTGGGTGGGTCAAACGCTCGGACACAGTGGGCTGGCCCTCACCCCGGTCGTCAACAGGGAGCCCGACGGTGCCCACGATGACCACGTCGTCGTCGACCAGGGACTCTGGGGAGGAGTTGGAGTCGCTGTCCAGGCCGGCCTCTGACTCAGTGCTGCTGTCGTCGCTGATACGGATCACACCTGCTGCCTCGCACATCAGCCGGGAAGCCTTGGCCCCACGACACCGTGGCCGCCCTGCAAAGAGGGCAGGGGTCACAGGATGGCCAGAGGCTTGGCAAGAGTGCTAACAGGAAGCAGGAGGAGCCAGAAACAGCAGAGAGGCACTGGGGCAGCCAGGCCGGTGGGCAGGGGATGCCACGGGAAGAAAGGCACCTGGAAGCCCTGCTCCTGCAGACTCTGGGACAGTGCTGTGCCGGCGTCTGTACGCGGCCCTCGGAGCTCACTCACGGAAACCACTGACTCGCACCGCCGGGTGGGGGCACGGTCAGGGCACAGTCTCATAGCACTGTCCTCCGGGCTGCAGGCTGGCTGGCGGAGCACATGGGGCCCACAGGGAGAATGTACACCTGGCCTCCCACGGCTGCTGCAATGCAGTCCAGAGATGAAGTGCCATCCTGCTGTCTACATGCACGGCCCTGATGGCCAACTGGGGTGACCCCGTGTCTAACCGGGATGGGAGGGTGGGTTCTGCTCTGCCCCCAGGCTATGTGGCACCACAGGAGTCTGGCCATCGGAGTCCCCTTCCCACTGTGAGCTGAAAAGATGTGGGCCTGCACCCACATTTGCTGGGGCTTTGACTTCCTATCTTGAGGACACTTCCTGTGGCCTGCCCCTAAGTCATGTGGCCAGCCTGGCTGGGGTTCACTGGCATCAGAGGGGCATGAGGCTTGTGCTCAGCGGTTCCCAGGGCCCTGCTTGCTGAAGGCCATGGTGTCAGGGTGGCCATGTCTCTGCTAGCACCCAGGGTTGGCTAATGTAGGGTCTCCTGGGTGAGCAGGACACCAAATATGGGCCTAAGGTCAGCACCCCTCTGAAGCCCTCTGTGTGGCTGTCCTGCACTGGTCATTTGCAGAGGATGTGGCTGCCCTGCCCCTGGGGCTGCCCCCTGAGGGGCCTGAAGCAAGCTGTAGAGAAGATGTGGCACAGAAGAGGGGGCAGGCAGAGGAGGGGCGAGGGGGCAGCAGGACAGGTGGCAGCAAGAAGCTGGGGGAGCAGAGGCAGCGAGGCCGGGGTGGCGGTGGGCTCTTACGTTTTCTCTTAGGGCCTGCGGCTCTGTCCCGCTTTCTTTTGGTTGAAGGGAAGTGCTTCTGAATGAGCGACAGAAAGACGCCCCTGGAAGGGAGATGTGGAGTCACGCTCACCCTGGCCTTGTGTGCCAGGGGCCTGGGCCATCAGCCCCACGGAAGACTGGGGCCTCTGCTCCGGCCCTGCTCCAGCCACCCTCTGCCTCTCTAGGGAACAGGCTGGGCCTGAGTGCAGGCTGAAAGGGCTCTGAGGCAGAGATGGGGCCACTCCTACCTCAGGTCAGCAGGGCCCTAAAGCATGGCCCTCAGGGAGTGCGATTCTGATGGAAGGATGAGGAGAGTAGGTCGGGATCCTGCCTGTGAGCCCCCATCCCCTCTGCCATTAAAGAGCGACCCTAGTGAGGCTGGATGCTACAGGAGGCTTGCACTGCCTGCCTGGCAGGGCCAAGGAGGCAGCCGAAGATGCTGGCTCCAGGGATCAGGCATCAGGGATGTCCCAGTCCTGGACAACGAAGGACCAGGGCAGTGGGCCGTGAAGCCAGAGCAGGAGGGGAGGTGGAACCCTCACGGGCTGTAAAAGCAAGCCCCCACAAATCCCGACTCCACACGAGGGGAAGCCCACATCAGCAGGAGAGACCCAGGAGCTTTGCTAGCTCTGATAGCTCTGAGTGTCAGCTGGGAGAAGGGCCTCTGAGCCCGAGGCTGCTCTGAGCGAACCCACCCAGTGCTGGCTGGGGTCTGCGGAGCCCCGCATCCCCACAGACACCCCAGGTGGCTTCGGTGTCCGCTGGGACTGCCTTGGGCTCAGTGCACACGCTCATCCTGGTCCTGGTCATCTGCTCCTGCCAGCCCACCGCCACAGGCCACCCCAGCCTGTATGAGGCCCAGGGGCCACGGTGCCTGCGGAGTTCACACTTGCTGCCCAAGCCGAGGCCCTGAACCACCACCTATAGGGCTGAGCCGGCCACTCCTGCGGGGCCGCGCTCACTCACTCGGCGGCTGAGACGAAGCAGTCAAGGCGCCCGTCGTTCTCATCCAGCACCTCGCGGGTGCGCGCCTCGCCCGTGGACTGCAGCCCGATGACCACGCACTGCGGGTGGAAG